GGTAAACGACCTGGTGAATTGGGACTCTCAGTGGAGGATGAGAGATTTATGGAAATTGTTAAAGGTCAACACTGTTTCATTGATGGACATTTCCAAGTTCCACTACCTTTTTAAGAAGTTGGATCAGACTATGCCATACAATCGTGAGCTTGCTGTCAAGAGAGCTTTGGGTCAAAAGAAAAAGATGCTCCGTGATGACAAGTATCACAGAGATTATGTAATGTTTGTAGAATCTCTTCTCCAGAAAGAATATGCACGCAAGATCCCTCCTGCTGAACTGAACACACAACCTGGACGTATATGGTACTTACCTCACCATGGCATTTACCATCCGAAGAAACCAACAAAGATCAGGGTGGTCTTCGATTGTAGTGCGAAATGTAAAGGTCTGGGTTTAAATGATGTACTGCTTCAGGGTCCCGACCTCACGAATTCATTGTTGGGCGTTCTTCTTCGCTTCAGAGAAAACAGCATAGCTTTCATGGGTGATATAGATGCTATGTTTCACCAGGTCAGGTTGCCAGCTGAGCATCAGGACTTCTTTCGCTTTGTTTGGTGGCCAAATGGAGATCTAGACGCAGAACTGGAGGAATACTGCATGACGGTCCAGGTCTTTGGAAGCGTGTCATCTCCATCTATCGCTAACTTCGCACTCAAGGCAACCGCTGACAAGGTTGAAAAGAAATATGATGAAAGTGTGACAGAAACTCTGAGAAGAAACTTTATGTAGACGATTGTCTTAAGTCTGTGGGTACTGAGGAAAACGCCATCAAACTTATCAAAGACTTACAGTCAGCAAGCATGGAAGGCGGATTCAAACTGGCAAAGTTTGTCAGTAACAGCAAAGCAGTGGTTTTGTCTATCCCTCCTGAAGACAGATCTAAAGATATTCAAGCAATAGATATGGACTATGACAAGTTGCCTGTAGAACGAGCACTTGGATTACAGTGGCATACCGAATCGGACACATTTGAATATGCAGTTGTATTACCAGACAAAGCCTTGACAAGGCGAGGTATATTGTCGACAATGTCTTCACTGTACGATCCTCTTGGACTAGTATCACCTGTGCTCCTGCCAGCCAAGAAGATATTACAGGACTTGTGTAAAGACAAATCACTTGACTGGGACGACATTGTCAGTGAAGAGAATCAGCAACTCTGGAAACAGTGGCTTGCAAACCTTCAATCTCTCAGGTCGTTGAAAATTGATCGTTGCATGAAGCCTGATTATTTCGGCAACATTGTCTCAAAGCAGCTCTGTGTATTTTCCGATGCCAGCACAAACGGATATGGATGTTCAGCCTACATTAGGCTTTCTGACAACTGCAACAACATCCATACAGTACTTCTCATGGGCAAGTCACGTTTAGCACCTATGAAAACCCAGAGTATTCCCCGACTCGAATTGACGGCGGCTACAGTGGCGGTTAAGATCGGACGACAACTGCTATGTGAACTGGACATTGACGATGAGAATATCACCTACTTCACAGACTCAACCACAGTCCTTCACTACATCAAGAGTGAGCACAGAAGATTTCCTGTCTTCGTAGCAAACAGGGTTAGACTGATACGAGACTTTTCTACTCCTCAGCAATGGTTCTACGTGGATTCAAACAGCAATCCAGCAGATATCGCTTCAAGAGGAAGCAGTTGTGAAGGCCTAGTGAAGTCAGCAACATGGTTTGAAGGTCCACGATTCATGAGACTACCTTATTCAGAATGGCCATCCCAGCCTGCTGACACTTTGTATGACAAAGACCACACTGAGGCCGAGGAGTGTGTCGCTATTGTGAGTGTAAAACAGTCTCAAAGTTCAAGTTGTGGTGGTTTGATGAAGCTGATAAACTACTACTCCTCTTGGTATCGCCTGAAACGAGCTGTTGCAGTCTACCAACGATTAGCCAAAATCTTGTATCAGAGAAATATGAAACGTGATATCAAATCCCTACTAACTGATCAGAAGTTCACTGTTACAGAACTGAAAGATGCTGAAACATCTATTGTGAGATTCATACAATCAGAACATTACAGGTCAGAGATAAACGACTTGAGGAAATCTGGGTCAGTGAATAGGAATAGTGGAATTCGCAGATTGAGCCCATTTCTTCATGACGGACTACTGCATGTTGGAGGTCGTCTATCACGAGCGCGCATATCTGAAGATATGAAGCATCCTATTCTGATCCCTTGTACCAGTCCTATCAGTATCTTGATCATCAGAGAGATTCATGAGAATTCTGGACATATTGACGTTCACAGGTACTGTCTACTTTGAGACAGCGCTATTGATAACGAAGGCAAATAGCACAGTCCGCAGCGTCATCAACAAATGTACAACATGTCGAAGATATAAGAGGCAGACAAGTACTCAGCTCATGTCGGACTTACCAGAGAAAAGAGTTAATCCAGCTCCTCCATTTGCATATTGTGGTGTGGATTTCTTCGGCCCACATACAGTGAAAGAAGGAAGAAAAAGCGTGAAACGTTACGGGCTCTCTTCACTTGTTTCACCAGTCGAGCTATCCATATCGAAGTAGCAAATTCCTTGAGCACAGATTCTTTCATACAGGCCTTGCGTCGTTTCATCGCAAGAAGAGGACCTGTACAGGAAATCCATTGTGATAATGGTACAAACTTCACCGGGGCAGCAAAAGAACTTGAACAATCTGTACAAGAAATGGATCAGTCTAGATTACATGAGTACTTGCTGAAAAGCAACATTTCCTGGAAGTTTAACCCACCAACAGCTAGTCACATGGGCGGCGTGTGGGAGCGACTTATACGTTCCGTGCGTACTGTTCTTAATCCCCTACTGCGAGAGTTTGGAGAGCGAATAGATGATGAGTCCTACAGAACACTGCTGACTGAAGTTGAAGGTATTGTAAATTCCCGACCCTTGACAACGTCGTCTGATGATCCGCTTGATCTCCAGCCTCTAACGCCAAATCACCTCCTCATGGTGAAAACACAAGTCTTTATTCCTCCGCCTGGAACATTTCAGAGGAATGATGTCTATATGCGTCAACGTTGGAGATGTGTTCAACATTTGACCAACCTTTTCTGGACAAGGTGGAAAAATGAGTATCTCCTTACCTTACAAAAACGTCAAAAGTGGAATGCTCCGAAACGTAACTTTGAAGTAGGAGACATTGTACTGCTGAAAGATGAGTCTTTACCCCGAACCTACTGGTCTATGGGACGCATCGTAGAAACGGAGCCTGATCAGCAAGGTTATGTCCGAACTGTAACTGTGAAGACGCAGGGGTCTACGTTACGCAGGCCTATCCACAAGCTTGTGTTGTTGCTTGCAGGCAACCAGTGAATTTGTGTGTTTTCTGCTTGAATTTCCAGCTTTAATGTAGTATTTAGCCTTTATTTTTGTGTTAAACATGTTATATATGTTTAAGAGGCCGAGTATGTAAAGGCTAAAACCATATTTTTCACTTTTGTACAAAATGCTTATTACAATCATCTATAAGCATATTTATGTTTCAAAATCATCATCTACAATCAATTACATCTCCAATAAGTTAATTCACTTTTTAGATGAGTAAATCAAAACATTGATTCTACTCCTTATTGTAATCAAAACAAAAGCACATGTCATTGTTTACAAACATGGGGTCAGCTGACCTAATTTGCATATCATCACCACCTGGTGGCTGTTTCAAATTTGTTACCTGGCTGAAGTCACTGACTCTCCATATTGGTCATGCACCTGGTCCAAGTGGGAACACAAGGTGTAAGTAACAATTTTGCTGTATCCTACCATAATGTTTTAGAGAAAGTGTAATGTAATGAATATCTGCTATTTTTGGTGTTTATTATGTTTTTGGTAGGAAATGTGTAATTTGAAGGAAATTTCATGTGAACTGTCTATTTCTGTTATTTGCATTGTTTTCATGACTGAGCCTAGATGAAATAACGAATATGGTTCTGTAACAGTGTATAAGGCCTAAAATGAGTAAAATTATGTAAAAGGCTTTTTCATATCTGTATTGATATGAGTTTGTGTTTGTATAACTGAGGTTCTTTTGTTTGTTTTATTGTAGTTTTTGAACCTCGTCACATGTGTGGTATGAATAAATTCTGTGGCGCGAGTTTCGCATTTCTTGCTGCTACACCTTGCTGCAAACACACCAGCTGCTCACCAACAATCTGGATGTCTTTACCAAAGAACACACATCTACAATCTGATCACCTACACCTATCTCTGGATGTCTTTACCAAAGAACACACCATCTGATCACCTACAATCTGGATGTCTTTACCAAAGAACACACCAGCTGAACACGCCAATCTAGATGTCTTTACCAAAACAACCTACTGACCATCTGATCACCTACACCAATCTGGATGTCTTTACCAAAGAACACACCATATGATCACCTACAATCTGGATGTCTTTACCAAAGAACAAACCTAGCTGATTAGCACCAATCTGGATGTCTTTACCAAAGAACACACCAGCTGATCACCTTCAATCTGGATGTCTTTACCAAAGAACACACCATCTGATCACCTACAATCTGGATGTCTTTACCAAAGAACACACCATCTGATCACCTACAATCTGGATGTCTTTACCAAAGAACACACCAGCTGAACACGCCAATCTGGATGTCTTTACCAAAGAACACACAATCTGATCACCTACAATCTGGATGTCTTTACCAAAGAACACACCATCTGATCACCTACAATCTGGATGTCTTTACCAAAGAACGCACCAGCTGAACACGCCAATCTGGATGTCTTTACCAAAGAACACACAATCTGATCACCTACAATCTGGATGTCTTTACCAAAGAATACACCATCTGATCACCTACAATCTGGATGTCTTTACCAAAGAACACACCATCTGATTACCACCAATCTGGATGTCTTTACCAAAGAACACACCAGCTGAACACGCCAATCTGGATGTCTTTGCCAAAGAACACACCCAGCTGATTACCGCCAATCTGGCCAGGCTCTTGGCATGCTTCTCACCTACACATGGAGCCGACTTTGTCCATGTTCTATCTGCCTGGCACGTGATGTGCTGGTTGCCACTCCCAGCCCTGGAGCCGCTCGCACACTTCAGGTAGCAGGCGTCCTTGAACTCATACTTTGTACTGGGGCAGGTGTACATACCGCCAGAGGTGTTCTTAGGAGCTGGACATTGTACAGCTGCAAGACAAAAGGACAAATGCTTGAACGAATATATAAATGCATTTTTTTAACTGATTATATTATGTTGCTTCACTTCTTTTGTACTGTTCTTGGAACTGTTTAATTTGTAGGTGGTGGACGTCACTGCAACTACAACATCACCGGCGGTCCTAGCAGCTACTTACGTTCACAGGTCGGGACGCCGGGACGGAAACTGCCAGACTTGTCACACGTGAGCGTGGAGGTACCGGTCAGTGTGTAGCCAGCCTTACAGGTGTACGAACAGGTGTCTCCACGAACAGTGGACCCGGAAGTGTGACTGCAGGTTTTGATGCCGTTGAGGATTGGGGAGGGTTCATTGCACCGTGCCACTGGAAGAAACATTGGACATGTGAAGTGAGTTTTGGGAGATATGTATGATACACATACAACTGTACATGATCCTTAAGTTTCTACGAACTGAGTGCTCGTTTGATAACAACATGATGACGCCACACGGGACTTCGAGACGAGCATGTTCAGACCGTGTGCCCATCAGCCGAGGTAGTATCTGTATTGGTAGTTTCAGCTTGACTAATAAGAATACGTGGGCAGGCTCGCTGACTTGATTGCCACGTTATCGTACCCCACGTCATCGTAGCCCACGTCTTCGTAGCCCACGTCATCGTAGCCCACGTCATCGTACCCCACGTCATCGTACCCCACGTCGTCGTACCCCACGTCATCGTACCCCACGTCATCGTACCCCACGTCGTCGTACCCCACGTCGTCGTACGCCACGTAATCGTACCCTACGTCATCGTACCATACGTCATCGTACGCCACGTCATTATACCCCACGTCATCGTAGCCGACGTCGTCGTACCCCACGTCGTCGTACCCCACGTCGTCGTACCCCACGTCATCGTACCCCACGTCGTCGTACCCCACGTCATCGTACCCCACGTCGTCGTACCCCACGGCGTCGTATCCCACGTCGTCATATCCCACGTCATCGTATCCCACGTCATACGTAAATCGATATTCATAAAGTCATCCGGTATACAGCACCTACCCTTGATTACGATTGTGATGGAGCAGGTGTTTTCAACACCACGGCTGTCGGTTGCCCTGTAGTTGATGGTGTGTGTTCCTTCGGTGAACGTGGAGCCTGAACCTTTAGACCCAACCAGCTTTGGGCTGGATTGACGAGTTGAAAGGATAACAGAATATTATATCAGGTTTAATTAAATCATTTGATTGGGGTGAGGGTTAATTGAATTTTTTTGGGGGAAGTGTTTGTTTTTGTTTAAAGAACAACTAACTTATTCGCAAAACAAAATAAAACATTTTACAACTCACCTCAAAGACAAGATTACAAACTTCCAAGAAGCAATCCTGATCAAAGGACTGCAAACATCAATCGACGAAGATCAATGCTATTCTATACGTTTTGCTCAGAATATGCTTATCCAGAATCCTCTTCCGTGACGCGTACAGAAAACAATGTGTGTACGTACGTCAGGGTACCGTCTTCGTCGTCATGCGCTGACGGTAGTGTCCATCTAGCCACGGCAGTCAACGACTTGGGAGGGGCAAGGAATTCTTGGGGTTTTGGATCACAGTAGATGTGGGGGGCGTTGTTGTTTACTACTGGTGTGCCTGAAACGGAGTGTACGGTGTCATTTTGGAGAATTCGAGAGAATCATATCTGTTTCAGTCTACTGAGATCACTTTCTGATTGTGTACACATATGAATAAAGTTGCTTAGCAAAACCTTCACCTCTTATAGTGAGTGAGTTTTGTTTTACGAGGCACTCAGCAATATACCAGCTACATGACATCGGTCTGTAAATAATCGAGTCTGGACCAGACAATCCATTGATCAACAGCATGAGCATCGCTCTGCGCCAACCAAGTCAGTTTCATAACACTATTAATAATAAAACTGAGGGCTTCCTTATTGCTGCTCAGGACCAGTCACTTCGCACTCGTAATCACCAAAATGTAATTCTCAAAGAAAATATTAATATGAAATGCCGACTGTGTAATGAATTTACAGAGACTGTCCAACACCTTGTTAGTGGATGCCCTTCGTTGGCACAAACACCATATCTTAAACGACATGATGGCATGGCTCGTTGCTTTTACTATCGTCTTCGCCATACCTGTGGCTTTGACTCCGAGGTCCATCCATGGTACGATCCTGAACATGTCCAGGGCGTCATGGAAAATGATGCTTTCAAACTTCTCTGGAATAGGCCCATATACAGCCTCAGAAGATTTCCAGCCAACAAACCTGATCTTGTCCTTTTTGAAAGCCAATGAATTGATTTATATCATTGAATTTTCTGTCCCTTTTGACAGCAGTGTGATTGGCAAGAAAAGCATAATAAATATGCGGACCTCGCCTTTGAAATGTCTCGCTTGCATCCCAAGTACACTGTCGTCAGGCTCCCCATTGTTCTCGGTGCCCTTGGTTTGGTACTTCATGATCTCTTGGCTCAGACAAAGAGAGTGCCGGGTTCTCCACCGGGAGTACAGCCCTTCTGACACTCTGGGTAATGCAGAAGGCTGCAGTGTTGGGGAGCCTGCATATTCACCGGAAGGTTCTTGGTGGGTTCGACTAGGCAGTGTTTCCTGGGAGAAGTCCCATTCGCTGTCCGGGCTGCGTGTAGAGGGGGCAAGGGCCCTGAGCTGATGCTGAGCCTTACCAGCCTGACTGTGCCAGGATCACCCGAACCCTCTCTGATGCATATTTCATCTTAATCTGTAAAAGAAAATAATAAAAAGTCATCTTCTTTAGCGCACAGTCTCCAAACACCAAATGACTTCTCGCGGCGCTTAATCAGAACCTGATTATTACCATATACTATTCACATCACCTGTCAAACATCTGCGCCTGCTTGTCATACAGTGTATACTTACAGTCACTAAGCCCAACTTTACACTTCAGATTATGCCAAATATCTGTGAGGAAAGAAAATGACATGTTAATAACTGTATATTATCCTCTGCAAGAGTGAGTGAATGAGTTGAGATTTTTAGTCACATCGGCACATATCGTGACGAAATCAAGTTACACATTGATACGAAATAAAGTGTGATTATAACATCTTTAAGTAAAAGACAGAAAAACAAACAATACACGGTCTACCGTGCTGTATCATACGTACGTTCTGTCTTGTTATGTCAATAGAACAGTCAGTGGATTCTTGTCAGGCACAGTCAGTGAGAGAGCATGCAGCTGTTCTTTTTCGACATGGATACTAAGTGTGCTTCTCTCCCATTGCTTTGCATATTTACATATTATTCTGTATAGCAGAACACAGTTCACCATAGAACATATAACATACATACAGCTGGCCCCATGTCTTTCAGCTGAGACAAAGGAGTACAAATGGGTACAAACTCAATGTCTGTTGTGTGACTGCCGACTGCTAACCGTGTACCTGGTCACACTTCTCGCCAATACCTGGCTTTAATTATATTTTATATGTTTTATCGTTATCGTTATTTATCCTTTTAACGCCATTCCGATCTGTTTCGGGAGATATTTCAGATCTTTCTTAGCATTTTCATTTCATGAAAATATAGCCCAGTAAGAATAATATGTGTAATACAAAACCTGCTTGGACGCTGTCAATCCAGGTGGAGTGCATCACCACCAGTACCATGAAGGCCAGGGTCAACATCCTGGACGTCTTCCTGCAACACCAGCACATAGCAGTAGGCTACGGCGTCCACTCACAACATCTGCCACTGCACTCGGTTACAGAATCAAGTCACTGCACGAGTTAACAGCATCAACTCAAAGAGTAAACTCCCAGCATTGATTCTCAGCACTCACTGAATCTGTTCAAACATCACCTGAACTTTTTCTTGATTTATTACCCAGGATGACAACACCGTGTCACATCATATCTCTCAGTACCAAAGTCCCGACACATCTACATCCCGACACATCTACATCCCAACACATCTACATCCCGACACATCTACATCCCAACACATCTACATCCCGACACATCTACATCCGGACACATCTACATCCCGACACATCTACATCCCGACACATCTACATCCCGACATATCTACATCCCAACACATCTACATCCCAACACATCTACATCCCGACACATCTACACCCCCACACATCTACATCCCAACACATCTACATCCCGACACATCTACATCCCGACACATCTACATCCGGACACATCTACATCCCGACACATCTACATCCCAACACATCTACATCCCAACACATCTACATCCTAACACATCTACATCCCGACACATCTACATCCCAACACATCTACATCCCAACACATCTACATCCCGACACATCTACATCCCAACACATCTACATCCCAACACATCTACATCCCAACACATCTACATCCCAACACATCTACATCCCAACACATCTACATCCCGACATATCTACATCCGGACACATCTACATCCCGACACATCTACATCCCACCACATCTACATCCAACACATCTACATCCCGACACATCTACATCCCGACATATCTACATCCCGACACATCTACATCCCGACACATCTACATCCCAACACATCTACATCCCGACACATCTACATCCCGACACATCTACATCCCGACACATCTACATCCCGACACATCTACATCCCAACACATCTACATCCCGACACATCTACATCCCGACACATCTACATCCCGACACATCTACATCCCAACACATCTACATCCCGACACATCTACATCCCGTCACATCTACATCCCGACACATCTACATCCCGCGTTCACTGGATAGCTGCTATGTGTCACGTGCTGGGATTCAAACCTCGGATTCGAAGCCAGACGACTTGCCCACATGGCATAACGTTAACCCTGTCAGAAAGCTGACATCAGGATGCATCCTCACAGAATCAGCTCAGAGTGCCTGCCTCCAGCATGTAAATATAGAACTGGCCGTCCTTCCCTAGTGTTGCACTCATACCTCCATGGGTGACTATTTATAGGCCTTTTACTAAGAATGCATGATCACATCGAGTGAGTGAGTGAGTTAAAATTTAAAGTCATTTTGGCAATATTTCAGCCTTGTCGTGACTAAATCAAGTGATAGATTGATAATAATTAAAGGTAATTTATGAACAAAACGAAGGACAGTAAAACAACTAAAAATGTAAAACCAGTAATCTAAAACACTACAACTACAGAGGACAACTGGTAGAGGTACATCCCCATACTAGGGACCATGGGGACTTACAGTACAATTGCTTCATGCATAGACCCTAGCTGGATTAACACCATCCCTTCGGCTATTAGCAGTTTTTGACAAACTGGCCAAAAATGAAAATAACATATATTCTACGTATAAAGACAGTGGTATGTTTAACTTTGCTTTGAATGATTTGGGACTTACGTACCCCCACAGGTGGACAATAAGTTAACATACTTCAACCTCCTGTGAGGATATATAGCCTCTCACAATCTCAACTGCTCAATGAAACTACCAAGTTTAAAATATTTATCCATTTACGAACCATTTATCAAGATTTATGGAACAAATTGATTTCTTTTAAAAATGCAATAATATAATGATAATTAACATTAAAAAGATTCTCTCATCACAACGGAGGATCCTCACATTTTAATAAGTATTCGTGTATATAACGCGTATGGCCAATGCGACATCGTCCTCCTCAAATCTGGACTGACAACCCTAGTAGGTGTAACCAGTGGTTGGTTTAATTTCATACAGTGTATTGATACCTACTTGGGTACGGATGTACGATGTAATGATAGCTTTGTAATCTTGTCACACCGAAACACTCACGCCTGGACAAACAGCATGTGACGTCAGCTATAGACGATGTCGCCAGTTGTTGAAGACGTGGTGACAATTTAATTATTTTCAGGCGCATAAAAATGTAGCCATATTGAGAACAATCGTTCAGTTTTTCGTCACGCCGTTTAATAACTTACAACCGTGGCTTACCTTATTACGAAACTTGGCAGTAACTTACGTGCGGCTTCCGCGGAATTTCTTCATATGTGCATGGAGGTGACCCCAGCTGCTGGTAGACAGGGAGATAATGGTAGATTAGCCACACTGACACATCAGGTTTTTTCATGAGGTTACAAAGTAAAGGCGGTTCAAATAAGGCACTCCCATAAATCTGAAATACTGCTACAACTTATTCCCACACAGTTGCGCCAGCATTTGTGAAATGGAGATCTAAAGCGTTAAAACGAGTTTCAGTAATCAACAGAAAAAGATTTGGCGTAAAGACAAACCGGAAACGAGATATATGAAAGGATTATTGGAAAGATCTCAAACTGGATGAGCATGTCCAATAATTCGCAAGTACTGATATCAGTTGAGCGACAGTGACAATTTGTCACTCTATCATTCTCCTGTCCACGTGACAGCAGTGTTCCCAGGCCAAATATATTCAGTATATAAAAAGAGGTGACCAGTATACCCAACATGATTCTGAGTCATGACAGACTCTACAGGAAACTCTATGAATGAATCACTGAACAATGGTGATGCCCTAATGATGGATGTTGTATTACATGTAGATACTGAACAGCAATCATAATATGGCCTAAGTCAACACAAAGACACGAGATTATTGACGGTGCATTACGTGAACATTTTACAAACACGTGCTGACGACACACAAGGTCGAACCTTGTATACGAAGGAATTTCTTGTCCTTGAACATAGATACATAAAGGTGTCAGATAAAAACACCAATGCGACACAGACATATTTATGCTGACACATGTAGGCGAAGGGAAGTCTCCCAGGATAGGGTCTTATCTTTAATATTTTAGTATTTGGGTGTGATCAGTCAAAACAACACACACAAGGTCAAGGTAGAATAGACCTGAATCGGGGATTATTTGTTCCAGAATGAAGCTGATTTGATATCAGTGAATGCTCACGTCATACTGATTAGTGTTTCAAATGACCAATGTTAGCACATGTTAAGTGTGGTATGTGACCGAATTTCCCCTTTATCCATGGTTCATCAAATATAACAATAGAGAACCTTGCAGACACGAGGCAGGAGTTGTGTCACATCGAACACAGGCATGCTGTCTTAATTCGTGACATGTTACTAACATTCGTGACACTACTACGGGTAATCTGGATAGAAGCTAGTAAAGTGTGGATGGAAGCTATTAACAACTGAATTTCATTCGTCCTATTGTCATTTTAATCCCTTGAGGCATTAAACCACATCTGTGAAGTAGGTTATCACAGTCATGAATACAACCAGAGCCGAGTTTAACCGTGTCCTCTATTCTTTAACTGATTCGTACAATCCACATTGACTACAAACACACGCCCATGCAACCGTTACATTTGTTGACCTCGTTCCTCTGTGTGCATGAAAGAGATTCGGCCTTAATGTTCCATATACTATACATCGCCTTCCATAATGTCTACAGACATACCACGTCTGTCAACACCATCATCACATAGAGAACTTGATATGCAACAGATTGGTCAAGCACGTACACCTATCATAGTTGGTATGTTATATAATTCCATCCAAATATTTAACGAGTGAGTGAGTGAGTGTAACGCTTGGTTGATCAGTGTCCCAGTTCCAGCATGGTTGGTCAGCTTGTTAAGAATAGCCACAATCATTCAGGTTACAGATGTCAACTTTTATCATTTATACTTTCTTTATAGTCACAGAAAGTATTTAAGACAATGGAATTAAGACCACGTGGATTCTGAATAATACAAGAACTGTTCCTGACGGGTGCCACGCGTGAGGCAGGTTATTTGGTACTGACTCATAAACACAAGGTCATGATACAGTCGGAAGCCTTCAGTCAATACTTCTTTAGCAGAGATATTGTATGGATGTGGAGAACTTACACAAGTTTGTTTGTTTGTTTGTTGTTTAACGCTGCACCCAGCAATATTATGTAGAATGAGTTTGTGACTTATATTACCGCGTTATTGTTCGCTCTGTGTCTGCTGATGTAGTTGGGAACGTTCATGTTCATGCTGAGATGTAGGCTGTTTCATGATACCATGTTCAAGATAGACATCAATGTTCTCTACAGCTATGTAAGTGTTTGCACTTGTGTACAGTGTTGCAGACATTTGCTGTGACAAATATCACTGGCAGCCACTAAAATATTATTTGCAGCATACGAGGGTCGGTCAAAAAGTACTCAGCCTAACTATATTCTCGATGTCCAATGTTTGAAAAGCTTCCATTTCAGTTTGTAGGAATCATTAGCAAAGCCGTATAAAAAAATTCACATATGTGGGTAATGTGATTAACGAGATATTAGTCATCACAACACATTGGGGTATAATATTTCTAGAAAAAATGCAAAAAATGAAAAACGATCCGTCATTTAGTACCTCTTGGATAATGGTATGCCCTCAGATAATGTCATATAAAATAGTTTAGTATAGTATTGGATGATTTCCCGTCATAATCAACATTCAAAGATTTGGATTGCTTGATTTATGTTTAGACAGGGCTGTTCTTATAAGGACACACCCATTTTAGTATTTCAAAAACATTGTGTCCAGATATTCAAGCTGGCCCTGTTTACAATATACTGAGAGTTGACACTTGTGTGGCCGTTCAGTATTTACTTTGAACCTTTAGCATCGTGTGTGAAAAAGTGAAAACATTAGAATAAGTTATGTCCTTATGAATTCGTCGTCTGAAAGGGGGTGGGTAGTGTCTCCAAAACAAGCTGTTTCAGTAAACATGAAGGGGGAATCACTTTAACAAGCGATTGTACTTTCAAATTGCTTTTTTATCCACTTTAATATCTAAGTTTGATTCTAGCGGACGTCTACTTATCTCAAACACACAAAATGTTTCTTGCATATTTTGTTACCTGAAGTTTGTGGTGCATTTATTGCAGATTTTGCGCTTTTGGGGGGTACCAAGATAAAATTTCAAACAAAATGGGGATCGTAAGGCTGGAACGTAGCAAAACCAATTTGCTTGAGGTTGACAGATAATATGTAGAAAAATAAAACATAAAAACAGCTGCATTTGAATCATTTACTAGGTCAGGCTTACTACTTTTTGACTGTCCCTCGTATACCCATTTCGTAACTAACATTGCGATTTTTACCAGTTGTGTTGTGTAGTTTGTTGCTGTCAATATCAGTGCACATGTACTGATTTCTGCAGTGTATGCGTTACATTATAAATGGTAAGAGGTTGTCACTAGCTCATGCTAATTCCCACGGTTCCAGTCCCTCATCGACTCTGACGTAATTGTATGACGCCACATTACGATGCATGTAGTCAGGTTACTAGCCATGTGTGTCAGCCTGGGAAGACAACCGTAAGGTAAAAGGCAAGATGGGAAGTTGACTTTACTTGGAAATAGTCCTTCCGGTTGCAGCTGTGGGTCCCATGGGTTTCAAGACCATGACAATTCCTTTTAAACAGAGAGACCGTCAACATTTCTGCTTTTCGTCCTCAGGCGCTTAGCAAGCCAATTCTTTTGTGTAAGTCCGATAGTTGCAAAGCTTTATGTTTTGGTAGTATTGAGGGCTTGCCCAACTTTCATTTTTTATGAGTCCTGAAGCGTTTTCGTTTGACGTTTGATGATTTCAATAACTTGTTGTTGTTATCTTATCAATATTTTGAAATCATACGGAGAACTTAGAGTAGTCTACCATTAGTTCAGACAGAATAGTCATTTGATTGCATTGTGACTGTCTCATATGCATATGTGATTTGACTTTGTTTAACGCATGTTTACTACATTGATACAATACCATACATCGAGTATTTGGGTTTTTTTTCTAAATGCACTGACTAACAAATGAAAAGTAAATACCTGCATTACAGTTATGATTCACATATAATCATGACTGTAACAAAACATTCACATACATGTCGATGGAAAAACAACCATCACTGAAAGAAAGACACCTTTCGAATTTATGATATGAAGAATAACATGTCTACTGTACATGGTGACTGTATTGGTAATGCTTTGTTGTCAAAGAATATTGTAGGCAAAATGATTCATAGAGGGATTTCCACGTTTTAAATTGTTCTGATAACGTGTTTGTCGGTATTTATGGCAAGAATTAGAAGAAAACATTTTTTAAGCGAATATCATGTGTAAGCCCGGGATTTTTTAATAATGGTAGCTACGCCCCTGGTCTTGATTTGTGTCAGCTCCATTTATGCACTGCTGTTGCTTCTGACGTACAACTAATCTGCATGAGGCTATTTTGGGCTTCTCTACATCTAGGTTCTATCAAGCTGGTCAAGAATTAAAGGTCTATGAAACTTCAGAATTTTATCTTTAACAGATGCTGCTTTGATGTTAAAGTGTTTTGTTCTGAATGCCCGAGAGCTTTACTAAATAATGCTTTAGTTTCTGACAAGTAGAAAGACACTAAAACCTCATCTTCAACTTTTGTGGGGTTTGTCCTCAGGTACAGATTTATCATACCCGGATGTAGTCTCTGTGTACATGATGATTGTAGCACTTATGTCAGCTGAGGGTACGATGAGAATTGTAATCTGACGATCGCTGCACGTCACCTGTCAGTACCGCTTGGGATAAGATTAAAGTTTGTAATTGCAAAAAAATATATTACTCAACTTCCATGGTGTTTGTCGCGAAATTGTCCTTCCTTATCTACTGATATCATTTATCTTGGAGAGAGCGTATTTTAATGTTTACAGTTTTGCAAGATGCATCCTCCTAATCATTTTGGAAATGAGGGTTTGGAGTTAAGTCATAGATGCTTTTATTTCGTATTTATTAGATCCGAAAATGGTTTGTGTGGTGTCAGGAACATGCATGCAATTGTCGGGTTTGTCGGGATGGGACTCCGCCCAAAATAGCTAGAATCTGTACTTCATTGTGAAGGTGTACTCCTATAAAGTTCACTGTGGACTTATTATCACATATGTTTAATTCGAGGTGGTGTGCTGGACTGAGGAACACTATTGACACTAATTTCTGTTGTGAAAAGGTGTTCGCCCAGAGGGAACATGGCGTTAAATTAACATGTCCTAAAAACAACTTACCTACAGAGGTATGAACCCATGAACACTAAATGCTGATTCTTGTAAAGACAAAATGGTATTTGCCAGTGCGGTGAGTGTCTGGAATTCATACTAAAGTAACATAAGCTGAAGATTACGTTTTCAAAACTGTATTTCTTTAACTAAGATACATTGTAATCCCAACAACCACATGCACATCTAACATATTTCTAAAATAACTAATACAACTAAAAATAATGCAATGTAAATTAACTAACTAAACTAGGTCCTTATACATTTCCAGCCTACCTCTAGTAGAATAATATTTCCTTAGCAACAGTAGCACTACGATACAAATACTAATGTCCTGTCAATATTATGTGTTATGTAAATGTCACAATCCCAGTTTTCGAAATTCTCCTTTAAAAGCTCCTTAGCTATTGTACGAGGTATGTCTCTTCTCCTTACTTTAATGATAACCGACCATTTCCCAGACACTACGATGTGTAGAAACAGATCCATGATCTCATGTGTCGGCCGGTGGTTTCGTGGACATTTCTTATGATTAACGAAACTGCCGTAGTCACTTCTATAAGTTGCTCTAACACAGACCCAACACTCAGTCACGCTTTCTTGGTTGTTTGAACAACTACCTGTCCCAGTTTTCTTCTGTAACATTCCTGATGTTGTCTCCCTTGGACATGCTACACTGGTCAGCTGGTTATTTCGGATGTTGAATGCTAATAACACATCCTTACCTTCTTCAAGAGGTCCCTAGAAGGTGTAGTACTCAGTGAGGATAATACATATGCATGAGCGACTCCTTTATCTTCATGATTACATCTGAAAAGCAACATTTCGATAAGGTTCTAACACCGTTAAGATAAGCTAAGGTAAGATAAGATAATACTTTATTACCCGTGAGGGAATTTTGTGTACATCAGAGGTATATGCCATTAAACAGAAAGCACGATACAAAAGACATACAAACACAAACAATAAACAGTAATATTTACGACATAGAAAGCAAAAGCACATGTGGAATCCCTAAAAGTTAAACATACTAAGTTATGACAATAGCTACGAACCTAACACAACAGATCGGTATAAAAGAGATATACAAACTGTAATAAATGTAGTTTTGCTCTCCTAGATTTAACATTGGGGATAAGATATTTACAACCAGAGGGTAAAACCTTATAACAAGAGTTTAAAACATGAGGTGGGTCATTTAAAATTCTTGCGGTAAGATTAATATCAGTTGAGATGTATAGAGTTTCTAAAATTCCAAGATCGCAAGAAGCTATTTTCCCTGCAACTTTCACAACTCGAGCTCTATTCAGCTTGTTCTTGTTCTTGAGTCCATACCAGCGCTGTATTGAAACAGTTTAAATAGATTGTATACATGATTTGTAGAACAGTTTTATAATGGAAGAGTCTATGTGGAATGAACGGAGTTTTCGTAAGAAGTGTAGATGGGACTCACATTTATTGTGATAGCATCGGTATTCTGTGAGAAGAGAAGTTTATTGTCAATAATAGTCCCTAGATACTTGTACTCTTCAACTACTTCTACTTCTTGGCCCTGGTGATAGTTACAGGTGTGGTGATCGTTGCTTGCCAAAGTCAATGATGAACTCTTTAGGTTATTTTACTTTAGGTTCGAGAAATCTATCTTCACACCACGCTGTGAAGGATGATACTTCCTCTTTGTAGGAATCTTCGTTGTTCAGCAGGAGACTGCTTATTGCTGGATCATCGGCAAACTTCATTCTGTCACAGTTGGAGTTAGAGAGTGAAGAGCATAGGAGACAGTACACAGCCCTGGGGAACACCTGTATTAGTGACAGTTGTCTCAGATGTAGCGTTGTTGACATTCACATACTGTCTTCTGTTGGTCAGGAATAATGCTATCCATCGTTTGAGCTGAGGGCTTACTTGAAGGTCATTTAGTTTCTGGAGGAGAATGTGAGGCTATATAGTATTGAAGGCGGAGGAGAAGTCCACGAATAGAATGCATGCATACGCTCCAGTTTTGGTAGATGTTGTGCAGCAGAGATCGCAGCGTCTTCAACACCTCTCTTGGCTCCTTAGGCAAATTGTGTTGGGTCGAGCTTGTCCTTCACTTGATTGGAGAGCATGAAGTGGACAATACGCTCAAGGCACTTCATCACGACTGATGTAAGAGCTGCAGGTTCCAGGCTGATGGTATGACTTGTTTATCCAGTGAAAGTTGAAAAATGGAAAATGAAAGCGAGTTGTTCATAATATTCCCTCAAGACCATACCACTTAAACCATCGGGGTCAGACGATTTCCGGATATTTAGTTGTCCGAATCTGAATTTTACGTCCTCTTCAGTCAGAGTACGATTATGCTCGCTATCAGTTAGATTGGATAACAGTTTGTCGGTAACATCAGGAAAATCATGAAGGTCGAATGTTGACTCGTCTCCAATAGCACTAAGTTATGTTCTAGTCACCGCTGTACTGACTTCTGGGCTTCACTTCACTAAACTTTGAAGGTGTTCGAGTTTATCCAATTGGATAATGTGGCCGTGGTGTATGTCCTTTCAGGGAAATTATTATTTCCTTTGAATGGTATGTGAAAGTAATTGTATATGTGTGATTTGTCAAAGGCATAGTTATGTCAAATTACATATGTTTTGTAGTACACTGTTCTACGTTTAGTACAGCATGGACTTTGAATACACAATGCCATGAATGCACTATCACCACGAAAAGTGGTCAAATATAACATATGTTATATTTGGGATCACACTTTCTCAGTAAAGTACTTTTGTTGGGTTGAGTCCCATCCGGGATTCTTTGTCTCTACCTGAACATGAGTATCAGTATCGAGTTCTCTCCAGTTTCTTTCCAGTTTTGAAAATATATGTGAAAGTTTCTGCAAAAGTCCGCCAGGTGTGATTAGCCCTGTACTTGGTTGTGGTGGAGGCATCTGCTGGGCACCATGTCCTGTCAGGTCGGACCAGCGACAGCAGCCTCTGCAACAGAAAACACGATACTAAACGTGTGAACACTCTGCATGTTTTCCTTACACGATAAGCAAGTAACTCCACTGGGCATACGATCAACTCGGTTCGTTAATATAATGTCAGTTGTTAAAAATGAATCAACACTCATATTCATAAAACTCGGGATATAGTAATGACAAAATGCGGCAACCGATAAAGGTATTTCTATGTTTAAGCTTTATCATGCTCTACGTCAAAATCACATGAGCACTCAATGAGATACATGTATTAAAGCATTAACTGACACTCGGTGTTTCTGTACAAGTGTTCACCAAGCTGCTGACCTGCTTCAGTGACCCATCCTGTCTGTGCAATGTTGTGACCATCATGACGGGGATGGGGAGGAGAGGCAGCAGTGCTATAATCCACCCAATCCCCACTGCCGAGACAGGGTAGGTGTACTTCCCATATGATGGGGACTTGTAGTTGGCCAGCGTCATGAAGAACGCAATCTGGGAGTCAAGGAATGAAATCACAAATAGTTATATTCCAGCCACGTATGATTACACAGTCACGTCTGTGGTGTTGATACTAAAGTTACTTCTTGATGTATGGCGAAAAAGGTTTGCCAACAATCCTCATACACTTAATTCGAAACATGCTGGTGATTTACATGTAAATGAAAAGGTTTACCATCCTGTCCGTTCAATCAGAGGTTCTAAATCACAATGACCACCTCACATTTAACTATATTCAATGTTTGTGTGTCAGTCACTGTGTATCAAGTGCACGTGAAATAATGTATGCCATGTTACGTATAATCGCATTAATCACATCAGCGTGTTTGATGCAACAAGGCACCTAAGCTATACCAGAAGTATTCCAGGTGTGACGAATCCCCACAGGAGTTTCACCAGGACAGGTAACGGGCGTCCGGACATCAGCTGGATGTCTTCACTCAACTGCTGGATTCCTGTACAATGCAAACAATCATACAATTATATGTCCATGAAACCTGCCCCTATACCAGTATAGTAAACACATGCGCACAGCTATAGACTATTGAAACATGCACTGGATACCTGTACAATAAAAAACACACACAATTATACGTCAATGAAACATGCACTGGATACCTGTACAATACAAACACTCACACAGTTATACGTCATTGAAACCTGCACTGGATACCTGTACAATACAAACACTCACAGTTATACGTCAATGAAACATGCACTGGATAACTGTACAATACAAACACTCACAGTTATACGTCAATGAAACATGCACTGGATACCTGTACAATACAAACACTCACAGTTATACGTCATTGAAACCTGCACTGGATACCTGTACAATACAAACACTCACAGTTATACGTCAATGAAACATGCACTGGATACCTGTACAATACAAACACTCACACAGTTATACGTCATTGAAACCTGCACTGGATACCTGTACAATACAAACACTCACAGTTATACGTCAATTAAACCTGCACTGGATACGTGTACAATACAAACACCCACAGTTATACGTCAATGAAACATGCACTGGATACCTGTACAATACAAACACTCACAGTTATACGTCATTGAAACCTGCACTGGATACCTGTACAATACAAACACTCACAGTTATACGTCAATTAAACATGCACTGGATACCTGTACAATACAAACACTCACACAGTTATACGTCATTGAAACCTGCACTGGATACCTGTACAATACAAACACTCACAGTTATACGTCAATTAAACCTGCACTGGATACGTGTACAATACAAACACCCACAGTTATACGTCAATGAAACATGCACTGGATACCTGTACAATACAAACACTCACAGTTATACGTCATTGAAACATGCACTGGATACCTGTACAATACAAACACTCACAGTTATACGTCATTGAAACCTGCACTGGATACCTGTACAATACAAACACTCACACAGTTATACGTCATTGAAACACGCACTGGATACCTGTACAATACAAACACTCACACAGTTATACGTTAATTAAACACGCACTGGATACCTGTACAATAAAAGCAGTCCCAGTTATACGTCATTGACACATGTTATAATTTAGATATAGATAAAGACTCTCTGTACTGTAAATGTCCAGAAGTTAAAAGCACGGCTGGTGTGTGTGTCCTGTATGTTGATTCACGTACCTTTGTATTTACATACCAAAGCTAAATACATTATAGCTATGATTCACGTATTGCTATGTCTAAACTCTTAAATATATCCTCTATCATTATTTGCGTAACTCTTGACATATATTCATGATTCATGAATCGCACCTTGTAAACCCCTAACAAGAATTCATGATTTCTCTATTGCAGTGTTATAATTCCTGGCATACTCATGTACCGCTATGTTTAAACTCCTAAACATATCCTCCATTTGCATGTTAGAACTGCTGACATATATCCATGAATCATGCATCGCTGTGTAAAACCCCCGATACATGTGGCCTATAGAATGGTACGGTTACCACTACTCTCACCGTAGAACCAGACCGTGGCCACACACTCCAGGGTACAGAACAGGAACAACGACAGAGACACCAGATACCAGTCCAGGAGCTGCATGATGTAGATCCCACCCTGAAAGTGAGACCATACCAAGGTCATCTCGATGTGAGCGGAACTTGAAGTGTGATCATACCAAGGTCATCTCGATGTCAGCTGAACTTGAAGTGAGACCATACCAAGGTCATCTCGATGTCAGCGGAACTTCAAGTGAGACCATACCAAGGTCATCTCGATGTCAAGTGAACGTGAAATGAGACCATGCCAAGGTCATCTCGATGTCAAATTGTAGTGTTTTAAGGGTGAGGCGTTTTATTGTTTTAGAATACATCTTTCAACATCCTGAGATCCCCATGAAATGGATAACTGAAACTGTGTTTTCACTGATTCCAATTACCTATGTTGTGTATGAATTACCTGTGTACATATAATGACACCCAACAGAAAGGCAACGCCACACAAAGCTGCTGTCACCAAACCTCTCCGTTCCCCAAGTGTCCTCGGAAACTGGTCAATGAGGGCCGTAGACACGATCTCCGCGAACAAAAACTAAAACACAATGTGTAACTATAGGCTTGCGATTTCAAAATGGTACTGGTTAAGACCTGTTCTTCACACATATGTCTATTTTGTGCTCAAATGTCCATATCTAATCATAAGCTATATTCATTGTAACCGTTTTAGTCTCACCTGAGAGTCTAATCCAACTGTCAGCAACATCAAGAAAAACAGAAACGACCACATCTGAGGAAGCGGAAGTTGTGATAGGGCTTCTGGGTAAGCAACAAAACCCAATCCTGGACCTGTTATCAGAGATGTCTATTGGTAATACCTTCAGTTAATGCTTACTGATATTTTAAACCTGGTACTGCGCTTGTCTTGTAATATACGAGCCACATAAAGAAACTGTGCATTGTCAAAATATTATCCCAGTTGATCAGTACGATAACAATGTCAAAGGTACATGTAAACGTTAATGGAGGGATCATGAGACCATAACAAGTCGGGAGAATTTCAATTGAAAAGTCAATCACAATGACATCACGAGTCCACAAGCGGGACAGGGGTCAAAGGACCATGTCACAAGTTCAATAACGGGTATGTCCACCATCGGCACTGAGAACAGCAGTGCATCGACGACGCATAGAGCCTATCAAACGTGCAAGGAAGGCTTGTGGGATGTCACGCCAGATTCTCTCAAGCTCTGTTGCAAGGTCAAGGACGTTATCTGGGGGATGAGGAAGACGGCGTAGACGTCGATCCATCTCGTCCCAAAAAAGTGCTCTATCGGGGAGAGATCCGGTGCATTTGCAGGCCAAGGCAGTAAGTCAACGTTGTGGTGTTGCAAGAAATCCATAGCAACCCTTGCCGTATGAGGGCGGGCATTGTCTTGTTGGAATGTTAACCCAGGGCCATGACGTTGCAGAAAAGGAATTGCCACAGGGCGAAGAATCTGATCCCTGTAACCCACACCAGTTAAGTTGCCCTGAACAATCACCAAAGGAGTTCTTTGGCGTGCTGTTATTCCACCCCAAATCATCACGGAACCACCACCAAAGCGATTCCTCTCCAAGACACATGCCTGTGCATAACATTCTCCCACCCGTCTATAGGCACGTTGACGTCCATCACTATGGGAAATGTTAAACCTGGACTAATCTGTAAAAACAAGATTTCTCCACCAAAACAAGGTTCTGCGGACATGATTTCGGCACCACATTCGGCGAGCTTGTCGATGACGTTGTGTCAGGATAGGCCGTAAGGCGGGACGTCGTGGTCTGATCCCGTGATGACGTAAACGTTGTCGAACTGTGTTGGGGTGGATACGGCAAAGACCTGGGATGGTTCGGGAAGTCATCACTGCAGTCTGAAACCTGTGGCGAAGATGGGTCACCCTTATCCATATGTCCTGTCTTGGCGTTGTTACACGTGGACGTCTAGAACGTGGCCGATCGATGACTTCATTTGTGTTCTGGTAGCGTCTCACCAGTGCAGAAATGGTGTTCCGGTGGCAGTGGAAATGTGCAGCCACTTGACGTTGAGACATTCCCCCACGGACCATTCCAATGGCCTCATGACGTTGTGCAGACGTGAGCCTTGGCATGCTATGCATTTCAATAGTCGTTAAATCTTTTGAACGATCGCAATGGCAGGGGGTTGAGCTTTCCAAAGGGACAGTATTGTGTGGCATTCATTTGCTCTGTATCTCTTTCCCGGAATGCACGTGCAACAACGTATTGCACGTCTCAAGGACGAACCCACTGACGTCACGGAACGTGGCACGTGCATGCATGTTGGATACATGTCACTCATCTCGGAGTTTAAATCCTTATGTGTCTACACAGGTTTGATAAATTTAGATTTTAAATTTTTGTATGCACAGTTTCTTTATGTGCCTAGTATACAATCATTGTACAAAATTGCCACATAAATATAAATAGTACACATGTTTATCATATACTAATACCCAACAGCTTTCTTATATTTGAAAATTTTCCGGACTCCACCAAAAAAGTTGTTTAAGAAACTATCATCATTGAAAACGCAAAAATTGTTATCTGTCGCGGCGGGGTGAAACCGCAGAAACGGAACAGTCAGTCATGGCGGGGGACATCTCAAAATCTATTCCGGGAGACCTGTCGATTCCTCGTCTGTCGTAGTGTCATAATCACGACTTAAAGGGATGACAAGTGGTGCCACAGTTGCCTGTTGTAAGCCATCCCGAGACCAGTAACCTTGTTCAATGACCTTAGCTACCTTGTTGACACAGTTTTGCCAAGTTTCAGTCGTGATTTTGTTAAGGGATTACTTAACCAGAACATCTACGTCACGTAATCTAAAAGTTGTGTTTGATCTGGCAACATCTCCTTTGACAATAACCCATATCATTTCAATGGGGTTAAGGTCACAGTGATAGGGTGGAAGTCGCAGAATACCGTGACCCTTACTTTTTATGTAAATTTCAACTTTGTAGAAAGGTTCACCTTTGTGGGTTTTTATGATCTCATATAGCTGAGGCTTCGTTGCCTTTGAAGGCCGTGCGATCTGAAATTTGTCGAGCCATGATATCATATCACCTTTCCGTCTTTTCGATGTCAGGGCTTTACTGTCGGGGCCCTGCACGCTGTGGTATGGGGCATTGTCCATTACGATAAAAGACTTCTCTCGTAGAGCTTGTACCAACTTGTTTTTAACCCAATCGAGGAAAACCGCACCATTCATCTCGGAATGGTAGTCTCTGTTATCTGTGGACTTTGGCCTGAATACCAAGTCGCAGCCTGGGAGAATGATTTGTCTCTCTCCTTTCCCTAGAGGCAGCTTTCTACGTGACCCCTTATCACCCCCATCGGGTACCCACTGACTGCTGGCAGTGTGCGAGGCATTGATCCAGGTCTCGTCCAAGTACACTGGCTCGAACCCTTCCTCGCGCTTCTTCTTTATAACCCTGAGAAAATTATTTCTCAAGCGAACGATATCAGGGCGTTCAGAGAGTACTGACCCATTCTTCCCCGACATTTTCTTATAACGATACCCGAGAGAGTGTAAGAGTCGCCAGAGTGTGTACTTTGATACTCTGAGGTTGTGTTCTTGCTTCAAATGCTTTCTTAAAATTGTCAGCGACATGTATTTGTTTTCAGAATAGAGCTTGTTGATAGACTGCCTTACAAGGTTCTTTTGAAAGTTGTCCAAATGTTTTAATTCGGGTGATTTTGACACGACCCCTACCTGCTTCGCATCACCCTCACAATGTTTGTGTTCCAGAACATTTGTCAGTACCCTTGCTGATACTCCTAAAGCTTTTGCTGCCCGCTTACGGAATGTATTAATGGCATAAAATGGTTTGCCCCTTTCGGCTTCAGCACGGAAAAAATCGTACACTTTAACCATCAACTGTTTCACGTCAGCATTCAACTTCATTTTTCATCAGGCATGTGTATCCCGTGCACGACGAGATAGTGGCTGTTCCGTTTCTGCGGTTTCACCCCGCCGCGACAGATTACAACTTTTGCGTTTTCAATGATGATAGTTTCTTAAACAACTTTTTTGGTGGAGTCCGGAAAATTTTCAAATGTAAGAAAGCTGTTGAGTATTAGTAAATGATAAACATGTGTACTATTTATATTTATGTGGCAATTTTGTACAATGATAAAATTTGCAATTCATCGGTTCGTTTCTGACTCAAACGGACTGTACGTACTTGTTGATTCCCCACATACTTGTTGATTCCCCACATGCTTGTTGATTCCCTACGTACTTGCTGACTACCTACATACTTGCTGATTCCCTACGTACTTGTTGATTCCCTACGTACTTGTTGATTCCCTACATACTTGTTGATTCCCCACATACCTGTTGATTCCCTACATACTTATTGCTTCCCTACATACTTGTTGATTTCCTACATACTTGTTGATTCCCCACATACCTGTTGATTCCCTACATACTTGTTGATTCCCTACATACTTGTTGATTCCCTACATACTTGTTGATTCCCTTCTTACTTGTTGATTCCATACGTACTTATTGATTCCCCACATACTTATTGATTCATTGATTCCCCACACATTGATTCCCAATTTGGATTCCCCACATACTTATTGATTCCCATGATTGATTCCCTACATACATACTACTTGTTGATTCCCTACATACTTGTTGATTCCCTTCATACTTGTTGATTCCCGTACTTATTGATTCCCCACATACTCATTGATTCCCCACATACTTGTTGATTCCCTACGTACTTATTGATTCCCTACATACTTATTGATTCCCTACATACTTGTTGATTCCCCACATACTTGTTGATTCCCTACGTACTTATTGATTCCCCACATACTTGTTGATTCCCTACATACTTGTTGATTCCCCACATACTTGTTGATTCCCCACGTACTTGTTGATTCCCCACATACTACTTACTTGATTCCCCACATACTTATTGATTCCCACATACTGATTCCCCACATACTTATTGATTCCCCACATACTCATTGATTCCCCACATACTTATTGATTCCCCACATACTTATTGATTCCTACATACTTGTTGATTCCCCACATACTTATTGATTCCCCACATACTTATTGATTCCCCACATACTTATTGATTCCCCACATACTTATTGATTCCCCATACTTATTGATACTTATTGATTCCCACATACTTGTTGATTCCCCACATACTTATTGATTCCCCACATACTTATTGATTCCCCACATACTTGTTGATTCCCTTATTGATTCCCCACATACTTATTGATTCCCCACATACTTATTGATTCCCCACATACTTGTTGATTCCCCACATACTTATTGATTCCCCACATACTTATTGATTCCCCACATACTTATTGATTCCCCACATACTTATTGATTCCCCACATACTTGTTGATTCCCCACATACTTATTGATTCCCCACATACTTATTGATTCCCCACATACTTATTGATTCCCCACATACTTGTTGATTCCCCCACATTGATTCCCCACATATTGATTCCCCACATACTTATTTGATTCCCCACATACTTGATTCCCCACATACTTTATTGATTCCCACATACTTATTGATTCCCCACATACTTATTGATTCCCCATACTTATACTTTCCCCACATACTTGATTCCTACTTGTTGATTCCCCATACATTGATTCCCCACATACTTATTGATTCCCCACATACTTATTGATTCCCCACATACTTATTGATTCCCCACATACTTATTGATTCCCCACATACTTGTTGATTCCCCACATACTTATTGATTCCCCACATACTTATTGATTCCCCACATACTTATTGATTCCCCACATACTTATTGATTCCCCACATACTTATTGATTCCCCACATACTTATTGATTCCCCACATACTTATTGATTCCCCACATACTTGCATCACGGATTGCCCCACCTGATGACACGACCTCCGTGACTGACACACCCACTCTCTCGGCCATCACTCCCAGGATAGAGAAGGTGACAAAGCCAGCAAATATGCTTGTGCCCTCCGATGCAACGCACAGAATGATGCTGTCGCTGAAAGTATAACATACATTGAACGTTTAGAATTATTCTCGGGAGTTTATTGAATCTGCGTCAAGTATTTTCGTATTAAAAATACAACCCAAACTTCGAGGTTATTATTCTGTGTTCGAAATAAACATTATCGAGGCTTGGCTAAACACAATGCATTTAGCTCGTATAAAGACAAGCTTAATATAATGATAATACCCGAAATAGGATATCTAACTTCCCAAATTACAAGCGTTGTAATCACAAAATCATACAGTGTCATTGGTAAATTCTGCAATCTGCTTTTTATTAGCCTATTTTCATCTACCCTAACGGTAGTTAAACATACACACACGCGCGCACGCACGCACATACACACGTACACATACACACACGTACACAGAACTCAAAACGATGATAGACATCTTCATCTTAACTTGGTGCAGACATTCAATATATGATGTAGATGTGCCTTTGCCTTGTGATATTCTTGACTCCATGCTGATCAATACATTTTATTGGAAATACAATCCTTAGTAGACAGACATTTCACTAACGTATGTCGATAGATGTATCACCCGAAGTCCCTCTTACCGTAACGTGGGCTCAGTGAACTTGTTGTAGCTGGATGTTGTCACTATGATGCCCCATCCAGGGCCCAGGCTGTAAAACACCTGAAGACAAGCTTCTGTCCACACCTGGTCAACATGTATATAGCATTAAGTTAACACACATATCTACACCCAGTAGAATTCAGCGTAAAGCCTGTGACGCCAACAACGAACAAGGAAATGTTAAACAATTAACAATTCATTGTGTATCAGTTCAAATAACTGCAACAGAATGACAGCACAATTACAATGACAGTATATAATACAATAATTGTGATAAAAGGAATAAAGTCAGTGATAATAACATTCACCGAGCAGCAGTGGTCAAGCTTCCAAACTAGACTTGATATCCAGGGTGCAAACATGCTCTTCACACATGCATGTGTGTAATCTGAAATGTTTGAGGCATACATACGTGTCCACTTACATTATCGGAATACCCTCCAGACAGTTCCATATCGTACACTACCTCCTACACCAATGCTTCCAGTAGATAGTGATACATTCCTGGCAACTAATGATTCTTAAGAAACAATGATATGAACGGTTACTGAATCCCAACAAAAACGGTGTAATATCACTGCAGTACTGCTCAGGTGAAATATAACATAAACACCATGTCACCACTTAAAGTACACCAGGTCTTTATTTATCGTTACCTCAAATTACAACACATGCCCCACCAGCTGAATAACAATTTTCTGGGCACGTTGAAAATGATTGTTCCAGAGCACTGTAAACATTTTCTTTCCACTTTCCCACAAAACACTTTGATGTATACAGCCCTAAAAACTACACATTGCACATCAGCTGCCACATTCATTCAATAGAAACAAGTAACACACTAGATTCACTCACAGGGAACTACATCCTTGTGTTTTAAGACAACATATATTGTTTGCAATTAATCACTTAACGATATCAAGTCGTCATCCCAATATGTACCAAAACAGATTGACAAACAGATTGGGTTTTTCAAATGATCTCAGAGGGAACTTTTCATCGCAAATACTTTTTCACCCATGAAGAATGTGGGAAACGTAATGTATTGGGAATGCCATTTATGTTGTGTAGTAACACTAACACCAGAACCCTTTCCACATCCATGCGAAATCTTAAGCAGAGTCTATTGTACGTTACCTACTGAATCATGAGCGTGTGTTTATGAATAACTATCATATTGTGGCAAGACCAGAGGTTCGCGAATAGATTATCGTGTCTCCCCCCAGGTGGCGCCTTTCATTAAAATGACAAAACAAAGATGATCATTTACTGCCATGGAGGCAAATACCTGAATGTCGAGCAGTCTGCTGAAATCTGGTTTCATGTAATATGCGATGCCATCAGATGAGCCGGGCAGCATCAGACATCTTATCAGGATCGTGGTCAGGAGAATGTAGGGCAGCAGCGCAGTTACGTACACAATCTGGAACACAGAACAGCTCTTCTTACATCCCATCTGAATCACATCTAGGGGCCATATCGTTGTCATTTCATTTTAGATCCACTGGTCACCTTACACGATTCAGATATGTAAATGTTCAAAACAATGTTGTTTGCGTAATTTAACCCCCTCTTCCTTCCTTCCTTCCTTCCTCTCTCACTCACTCGAGTTGTATTGCCTCACCTTCCCAGTAGCTTTCACTCCACGAAACAGGCACAGGAAAATAATGACATAAGAAGCAAAGAGACATCCCACCAAGTGCCACTGAACTGAGCCAACTTCATGTATTCCATTTGAAATGCGAAGAACATTGTACCTAAAAGAAATGTCATAAAATCAAAATGTTTTATATTCATTCAGTGATGGCATTATAAGCAGGTGGCTATTTGAGAAACATGATATAGATAATCGCACTGAATATAAAGATAGCTACATTCGAATTGCCAAGCAAGTCACTCTTATACTGACTGATAGAACTCCTCCACAGCCGTGTGAGCCAAGGTAGTGTTTCTCCACAGTGCGGCAGTGTTGGTGTCGGTGCCATTGGCGGCAGACTGGGATGTGATCATGTGAGAGGAGTTCGTGGACATGTTTCTGAGAAGGGAGATGTCCTCTACACAAAGGTCCGTGTTCCACCAGTTGTCACACGTTGTCCAGGGCAGGACGGTGGTGCAGGATCTCACCAGGTAGTAGATGGGCCACGCCAGCAGGATGTTGTAGTAGGGCAGACAGATGGCGACCTGGACTATACAACCAATGCCAATACCTGGGGAAGAACAGAGTCAACAGTCACGTGTGGCAATACCTGGGGAGTAACAGAGAGTCAACAATCACGTGTGGCAATACCTGGGGAGGAGGAACAGAGAGTCAACAATCACGTGTGGCAATACCTGGGGAGGACAGAGAGTCAACAGTCACGTGTGGCAATACCTGGGGAGGAACAGAGAGTCAACAATCACGTGTGGCAATACCTGGGGAGGAGGAACAGAGAGTCAACAGTCACGTGTGGCAATACCTGGGGAGGAAGACAGGATCAAGATTCACGCATACCATTACTTGGAAAGAAAGACAGTGTAACGTTTCACGTACGTTGATGGCCACATAGTTAAATAGCGATCCCTGCCAAAAGCGCTGCCGGTTGTACCATTCCGAATATATTATGAGCATGTGTTGGTTTGTTGGCTTGTTTAACCCTGCGCTCAGCATTATTACAGCTGTATGGCGGTGGTCTGTTAATAATCGAATCTGGACCAGTCAATCCAGTGATCGTGAGATACGATGCTATAGCATGTGTTTATGAATCACTAGCAAATACTGATGATACCAGATGTTCGCTAAATGGTTTCCTACCCTCAGAGATCTTGTCACTTTAAACCTTCAAAGAGCTAAGTATGAGACACATCAGATGGTGTAATTCATATATCGATATAGCTGCAGCTTCAGATCGCATCTAGGCGACATTCACATGACACATCTTTTTCATTTTGGGCAAAGAGTCCTAAACTTCGGAAGATTTAGATGTGAATATATTTATGTACTCAGGATCATGACAGATATTTTGATAAGGGTTATTCTGTGTGATAATGGTGCACACAGTTAAAACATATTTTTCATCAGAATTTGGGAATATGGGTCTGGGACGTAGACCTGAGATTTCTAAGACATTTTAGTAAAACTGTTGGGATTTTGTGAATCCAAAGGCATAAGTTTCATTTGTCTCGTGTTCTTACTGTGTACATAAAATCTACTTTCTTGAATGTGTTGAGTATTATCCTTGAGATATAATTTGGTTGTCTATTTCATGGACCAGCAATGTGTCTCCTTTTATAGGAATTTGATATATCTTCGGAATGGAGGTCAGACGGCATGTGACGTCACACGTGGCCGTGCTGACCTGGGGCGATCAGATGTCGTAAGCGTAATGTGAATTGTCCGTCAACTGCATCTCATGGTACGTGCAACAGCCACAGAGGCCAGTCTGGAGCATGCCCATTACACGTTCACCATTTGTAAAGTAAGGTTTGTTGACGTGTTTTTGTTAATCACCAGCATATTCTGCACACGGGCACCACAGTTGAAATTGGCGGATTCGTCAGGTTAGACCTGGCCATTATGGTATTCGCCCATATTTACTATTGTTCAAAATATACTGTTCTGATAGGTTAATGACTGTAGTAACTGATTGAGACCCTTGTAAATTACAGAAACGTTCCCACCTTTGAAGAGAGGGCAGACGTTCCACACTTGGACCGCCCCTTTCCCAGAGAACTGTCCCAGAGCTGCTTCAAGGTAGAACATCGGGAGACCCGTGATGATGAGGAATATTATGAATGGAATCAGGAAAGCACCTGTTCAGGGGAATTAGGAGGTCTTTATGACTATGGACGGACACTACGTTATGGATTCAGAGAAAATATAGAATGTTAACTGTTTCAATGATATGCCACTTTCACATACCTATATACATGGGAACAACGTATTTGCATAGATACACATCTGGTATATAGGAAGAGGTACATTACACGTCAATTCGTATTGCCACAAATCTTCACAAAACATATCTTTGTAAATACACCTGCGAGAAATGCAATGCTGTTTACATGGTGAAACTGTTGCGTTATTGTGAGATTGTTACGTGACAGTGTTCAGAGTAAATTTCGGAAAAAACGAAGGCCATTAAAGGTTAGCAGGACTTGTCTTTCAACGATCAAGTCTGAGTTCCCAGAAGGTATATTGTCCCAACTGTGGTTTTTGAATCACATAAACGTGCATGTCTCATTGAAGACATTCAATTGTGGCAACTACTGAACATCTGTGAGAACAACAGGTTGTGTACTAGGGCCTATTACATGTTCACACATAAGCCTTTTTAATCACATATTTTTACCTGTTTTTTGTGATTATTTTGTAGTCATACTTTGGCTCATGGCCTGTATAGAAATAAAGTAACCTGTGTCAAACACCTTGCGAATCCAGACTGGGACTGAGAAAGTGTGATCCCATACGTTATATGTTACATTTGGCCACTTGCCGAATGGCATTGTGTATTCATAGCCAGAGATTACAGATGAATTCCAACAACTTACAATTGTTCACACTGTGAAATGTTTGCAGGATGCGTCCTCCATTGATACATTGAAGATGGGATATGATACGTTCTACAAGATATCATGTCTGATTGAACCAAATAAAAATGCACGTACCTCCGCCATTCCTGTTGCAGATGTATGGAAATCTCCACAAATTCCCAAACCCAACACAGCAGCCTATCATGGACATGATATAGTCCAGTCGGCTTGACCACTGCCCTCTGGTAGATTTAGGGTCAGCTTGAGTTCCATCCACTGCTTTGCGTCCATCCGGACTGGCGCCCACAACGTCCAGAGTGATACCGCTGGTCAGCTCCTGGTGTTGCTGGCGAATGTTCTCTGTAGCCATCGTCGACAACAGTTATCTTGGCTATCAAGGAAACAGTATTTTACTCAATGTTATGGACTGATTATCAGAAAATAGTTGACCACATTAGGTTTTACCTGCTGATAAATGCTCCCTAGAGTATGTAAAACAAATTGTCATGCATTCATATATGTAGATGTTGGGGTTAAAAGCATATAGATCTACATGCATGTGCAAGCGTTAGAACTTTATAATTTCACCAGTAAAGGCAGAAGGTAAAATCTGTGACAACAAGCTCTGTATTCTATTGTGATGCGACGTTGGTCTAATTCCTTGTCAAGCAAGAGTTAAATAGGAGAGCACAGTGCGGACCTGCAGTAATGGTTAACAGGAACAACGTCAGTGTAGGAGTCCTACAACATCAGCCATCTTCTGAAACCATGGTTCCACATACTTAGACAAGGGTGTTGTTTTAGAAATATCCCTGATCGTTTAAATAATCATGTTTTCTTGCTGCTACTAATCGTCAAAAAATGGAATAACCGTTTTTCGTCAAAATTGTTAAAAAAATGTTAAACATCACCACACGTTGAAATACTAAATTAATCTGTACAAATATTCCGGAATAAACAACTATGTTAAAAATTAGCAAAAGCGTTTATGGAAGGATAACTATATTACTAGCCCCTGTACCTACAGATCACACACACTCGGAGTGAGACACTTCATCGCCAGCGCACCGAGTGCAGTGAGTGCTCAAACCCACTCTGCCGTCGGGGCTTCCATAACAACAGTCTGACGACAGGTACTTTAAATTTTTGACATGGAGGGGATATCTGAGGGTATAGGGTATAATATATACATGTCTGGCCAAGTCAAAACATTTATAAACACAACAGTCTCGTTTCCTGCTGACTGGGTTCCGTGCTATTGCGCAACGTAGTACAAAACACAGTCCAGAAGTTTTAGACAAATTCACTCAACTGGATACATAAATATTAATCAGTATTATTTGATACATCTAAGCACTTGTATATTGCAACACTACGCTCCTTCTAATCCTTGCAAACACGTGGTGCATCGTGCTCTGTCGTACAGCGTGCTCTGACAAATGGAAATCGTGGAAATCTCAAAACGAGGCTCTGCCGCTAGAAACGTTTGGCGGTCTGTTACGGACTTGATAATATATCAATCACATTGTGCATTACAAAACTACACCGAATAAGCGCAAAAAAACACATACAAGGTGTAACCAGTGAGTCAGATAATTTGTGAATCATTTTACGACCTGGCGTCGATCTGAAAATAATTAAAATCTCGACCTTTGAAAGCGGGTCGTCAAAACCAAAAAACAGTAGATTATCTCTTAGTATTTGGAAATTACCGAAGGGGAGGATCTTTACAAACCCGCAAGATGCGCTCATCCGGACGGTCCAACGTTAAACTGACAGCGCATGCGGGACGCGAGCTGTACATGTTACTGTTACACTTAAAGACAGTTAACCAGTATAGCTTTCAACTTCGCCGATAACGTTCGTGAACGTTGGCGCGTGGACGTCTTTTTCCACGGAACAAATATTTCAGGACATAACCCTTGATACATAGTTGATTCCTAGATACAACATGGATGACCATGATTGCTTATATTGAAATAATGAATCACCGGATGGCTGTTCTAAGCAAGGCGGTGGAATCAGCTGATCGTTCATTTCAGGTCATGTTTTGTCGTTTTGTTGGCGTTTTGCAATCGGTAATTAAACGTCTTGCATTAGATTTGTAAATATCATGCTTTTAAACCGGAGTGTATTTCTATTGTAGAAGTTATTTGTATTATGGCTGATAAAACTATATACATGCAATTTAGTACGACGGGAAGCCGATACGGTACATGGAATGTGAAGGTCGTGTATGCGAATACATATTTGGTGTTTTGACAGCAACACATATAATTGGCAGGTATATAACAGAGAAGTGAGAAACAATGTATGTCAGTCATCACCTACATATTATAATTCAATGTTCAGCTCACATACTATTCAAAAATAGAGTGGAAATCAAGGAAATCGTTTTTGAGTATCTGTAAGGATTTATGCTGTATATAATGGTTGTGTAGACCAATGGTGGAGATCTATTGCAACATTCTACATAGACTGCACTTTGATTAAGAATATACATAAAAAACGGCATTTTAAACATTTTGAATTCAAGAAAATGTTGTCTTTTGAGACACAAAAGAGGCTATACTAGTTTAACGACATATTCAAGGGTACTTTCCAACTTCCATTTTTCATCATTTAAATAAAAAACAATATATTCATACTAAATTTCAATGTCTATTTTGACAATGTTAAGTGCTGAAAACACCAAATGGTTTACTATGTACTGACTTGCAGTGTCAACAGCAGTTTGCCTTCACAATGAACAGGTGATCATAATAGTCATAGTTCATGTTTTATTTTCAGACCCAGCTTTACATGTTTCCTTGCTGTTAATATCTATTTCTCACGCACAAACATAAATAAAGTCAATCATTGTTTGCTCTTTCCATCAATAAATAGCTGCATTGTAAAATGTTGCAATTTTTACTGATGTTTGTATGATGGCGCATGTGTACTTTAATATTTATTTATATTGTACATAAGTATGATCTGTTATATGTGTTGTAAAATATAGATAAATACATTATAAGTTGTTCACTGGTCTCGAGGGGGTCATGGGCTGATGTACCCTCGATGTTTGTTTAATAAAGAAACATCGAGGGGTACATCAACCCATGAGCCCCGAGGGACCAGTGAACAACGTATATATACTGAAAGCCATTAAAAATGCAATTTGACATTCATACTTTCTTTACTCACACTAATTTCAACATATAAACCTAACTGGCAAATATGTTTTAAGTGAACATCTGTGAATAATTTCATCTGAAAATATCCAGTCAACAACAACATCAGTGACGCAACAACGACATCACACAAAGGAGGGGTCACTTGCGGTCAATATCGTGTGTGTCCACCGTGCACTGCAAGACATGCTCGCAGTCTTTGGGGCATTGAAAGACACACATTTCTCAGGAACAGCTGTTGGATGGTCTGCAGCCTCTGAAGGTCTGTGGTCTGATCATGACACCACCCCCTCCAAAACGATCATGTTCAAGGACACAGTTTGGCGCAAGTCTTTCTCCTTTACGTTGATGAATCTGTTGACGTCCATCTGCAAAGGATAAGTTATACCTGGATTCATCTGAAACATTGACATCTGGCCATGTCCTGTTGCCAAGATTGACCCCATTTGCTGCCCATCGCTGTCTGGCAAGTCTGTGGCGATGCAATAAGGTTGGACCACGGTACGGGTGACGACACCGGATGTTGAAGGCAGCAAGGCGTCCTTGCACCTTTTGGGCGCTGAAATGACGTTGACTTGTCCCAATTGTCCTCCTTGCCTAATCATCAGCTGTTTGGAACCGATTTCGCAAGTGTGAAACTCGGATATTGCGGTTTTGTCGAGCTGTTATCACAGGTGGTGCACCAGGTCGCGGACGATCAGCAACACTTCCGGTAGGCCGAAAGCGTTGTCTGAGTCGACTTACAGTGGATTGGTGCACATTAGAGTGCCTGGCAATCATCACACCTGAAGCACCTTGGCTGACCATACTGATAACCTGATTCCTTTCGTCTTGTGTCAAGTGTGGCATTTTCTCAAAGTGATTCAGTTCCACAATTCCTTGTGCTTTTACAGGGCCTAGGTGCAGGTAATGCATGTGCACAACGTGTTTCATGAATGGGGTTGTGTTTACGAGAAATGTTAAAGGTCCAGTTTTAAGTATCAAAGGTCATATGAGAGGAATGCTCCAGGACTCGAACTCAAAATGGGCCAGAATAACAACCTTTTATCCCTATCATCCTCTGAATCGCAGGAAAAAAATCTTCAATAGAACTTTTGTAAGTTTCAGGACAACAAATACCAATTGCGTTTCTAATGGCTTTCAGTATATATTACCGAACACCTCAATGGTATTTTGGAACTGTTTGAAGCACATGTATCGGATCGTAGTATGGAGTACCAGACGACAAGACGACAAGAAAAACAAATGTACAGTTATCTTACTTCCATCGATTTGCATTCGCACAACATCGGTAATTTCCGTACATCATACGTGATTCAATGTTATTCGAGATAAAGAATTACTACTACGAAGCACCAAATGAGTTCAGCATTCCCAACGGGGTACATAGAAAATGTTACTCGCTTGTAAGCGGGGTACATTGAAATAATAGAAGAGCGCTAAGCCAATCAGAAAGCGACATTTATGTGTGAGGTAAGATAATTGCCTTTGAGTACTGTTGAATGAAAACCTGGATATAACGGTAAAGCTGGATAGTAGATGCTTGTAAGGGAAATATATTGTCAACATGATGTTACCAAAACAAGGAGATACATTTGTCATATATTTGTATTTAAGTAACATATACATCCTCTTGGGTAGTCAGTATGATCTGTTGCTTGTTGACACACATCTCTGTAATTTGCTATATAAGAAAGCAAGGATAGAAACGCAATTTTTTAAGAAGGTCATAGGGCACCAGTCAGAAACTTTGTTTATACCAATAAAACTAAGCATGTCCATACCTTTTGATTATCCAGTTAAACTTAAAACATCACAACAATTATGTCATTTCAATGTAGTGGTGATAAGTCAGTGCACATCATGTAAAACTAAGCGTGTCCATGCCTCTTGATGATCCAGTTAAACTTAAAACATCACAACAATTATGTCATTTCATTGTAGTGGTGATAAGTCAGTACATATCATGTAAAACTGTAAACTAGTATGTCTCACAGTCCCAGAACCACATTAGTCCCCGTTCTGCCCAGTACTTTCTGTAATGATAAATCCCTTAATGAAGCAAATATGGACTCCCTCAAGTTCTGATTCTCACATCTTACTGGGGCCAATATGAAAATGGGATTATTTGTTACCACCAAAATCATATATATTCAGAGACTAAGCGTTAGACAATCCTGTAAACGTGAGTGCTGGA